ATGAGATGCCTCAATATTTACCAATCTTCTGAAATAGGAGCATAACAGCTTCTTTGATCATCATTTTAATAGAGAAAATGGCAGAGATCTGTTTCTTCTTATTAGTAAAAAGGGAAAGAAGGTGGTGGGGGAAGAGGCTGTAGTCTATAATTTCTAATGCCTTATTTCCCATGACAGTTGAGCTTATTTAAGAGTTTGCAAATTTTGGGGCTGCAAACCTCAGCATGCAAATACAAACTGAAAATACATAAGGAGAGGTTACAGGCATCACACTTTTTTCTTTCCTGTTTACACTTTTATTAAAAATGGAGTTCCAAAATATTTTAATAAAGTGTCATTTGCACGGTTACCTGGCAAACTTGACAAGTATGCTGAAATAATAGGGTTTGTGGAATGGTGCATTTGTTTCAATAAATGCCATACGGATTTTGGAATTCTGTAATCACAGATCTGGCACCTCTTTATAATGTATTTGGGACAGATTTGAACATTTTTGTGAAATTGCTATAACCAGGTGCTTCTGCCTCACTGAGGCTAAACTACGTTTTAGTAGTCAAGTTTCCTTTAAGGAGGACAGAACTGAAAATCAAGTATGTATGGTCTCCACTGGCCCACCTCTTGCCGTGCCCTCCCCAATTTTTTCTGTACTTTCATAACAAAGTCACACTGAAGGGCCTGCTCCTTCCTAGCTATTGTAATAGCAGATTCTGTAGTTGCACTTAATAATTAAGAGGTATAATGCTAAATTACTTGGAAAGAAGGCATCTGTCTCCATAAGCTGAATTTTGTAACAGAAATTTTATCAAAAAGCAAGACTTAAAACAGTGCAAGTACAACCTCCCTACAACCATCAGATTTACCCCAGAAATCGTTAAAAGCTGCTAAGAGGCTTAACTCATTGTTCACATGCTGAGTACATTAGGAAACACATCTAACTTGAAAGCAAAACCAAGAGTTAACTCTCATTGAAATTTATCAGACTCGAGGTACCTGAGAACACACTCAGTTTTTAAATATCTGAAGTCAATTATTCCTCATTAAGAGAAGGAATGCCAGCAGCTACTACCCTACTTTTCCCATTTTCTCCATGCAGAAGGAGCACTGATAAGGTGTGGGTTTGTTGGGGGTTTTTTTGCTACATTTGTAACATTACTACAACGTTTGATATTCACCCTTAACATATAACCAGGGAGAAACGAATGAGACTGACTAGTATCTTTGGGTCTGTCATTCATCAGGAACCTCTGATAGCGAAAAGCATTCTAACAGACAAAAAAGAAAAAAAAACCCAACAAAACCTTATGCCTGTTAAAAGCGTTAGGAGCAAGCTCAAGTGAAGTTTCCATACCAAATGCCAAAACTACATCACACAGGGAACTGTGGCTAGACAACATAAGTTGAAACTTCATGTTTTATAATTCTAAGCAGTTTTAAACACTTATAGACAGCATGCATATTTGTTTCGATAGCACAGAAATCCTGACTCAGTCCTGAGGTCCACTGACACACTGCTCTCTCGAGACTGACCACCACAAGTTCCAGGTGGGACAGCCCCATTTAAGAAAGAGCAAGACGACTGTCTGCCACAGCTGTAGCTTTCAGAATATGTCAATCTGCAGATCTCCATAGCTTTGTTGCCTCACTGACAAGCTGTAGCAAAGAATCCAAAGAAAATAGTCATATTTTTGATAGAAGATTAGCAGCATGTCCTTCTAACTATAAAGTGTGCTACCCTTGAGTATCTCTTTTGTTTTAGAAGAGTAGGAAGAATAAGAACTATGTATGTCTCTAATTATTTCCATACAAGTTAGAATAGGCATTCTTTCTTTTCCCCTCATACCAATTGTTTCCACATAGGAATCACAAGATCCCTCCAAGGCTAGTTTTGTGGTACAGAAATATCTGCCATAGTTGTATACACTATTTTATGTTGTAATACAATTACTCTAATTAGCTTCAATCCAGTTTATATGTTTTAATATCTTGTTTGCTATTTTAGGCTTATAAGCAGAAGCAAAGCACAATCAAACCCTTCTTAAGGGGACTTCAGCAACCAGAGAGATGTCTCAACTGATCTTGAAACTGTAAGAATGTGGGCTACAGAAACTCTTTGACAGGTATTCCACATAAAATTTTAATGAAGACCTCTTTTTGCAGTACTCACATTTCCCCCATCTTCCTTAATTGTTCTGTCTTTTATCACACTGCTCAGTTGGGTAATACTAGCTTACAGAGCTGAATACACATGAACATATTACCTCTGTATCACAATGCTCATTTTAAATGACAGTGATCAGGTCAGATAGACACTACCCTGACCAAGTTTTATTCAAAGAAACTGAATAAACAAAGGATGGGGGGTGGGGGTGGTGGGGAAGGAAGTCATCTAATAAAAAAGTTTGTTGTTCCCTCGAAACAAAAATAAAGAACACGTAAAAGACCATGGAAAAGGGAAGAAAGCCACACAGAACACTCTACATTTTACTGCAGTTTTCTTAGGAAATACTTGTGTATTATCATATAATATAGCAACTAATAAAGCCTTCTAATTTTTGAACTTTTCAATAAGCTTTCCAGCTGGCTCTCACTTTCACTTAGACTCAGGGGATGTCATGTGCAAGTGCTGAAGAAGCATGAAAGAGGCCACCAAAGCAGAACTCAGTGAAGACAACCACTACCAACTTCACCCTGTATTTGGAGTTTTCAAGTCTGAAACACCATCTTTCCTTTGAACTTTTGGTCGGCCTCCAAGTCAGACACAGGACTACCATGAGTGTAACTGTAATATTTTCTAAACAGAAAACTATTTATTCCACATTTGAAACAGAAAGCATTTTCTTCATTTTATTAGGTGAGCAGCAAGTACTGGAAAGAAAGGCATTTCCTGCTGTGACCAGAATTAACAGTGCAATTACAAGAAAGCACCAGGCCTCCCAGATAGGCTTCACATGCAGTCAGAAACTATGCTCAGCAGTCACATCAATGCTTGGTTTTCAACCCAAAGCCAAGTATGGTTTTCTTGCCTTTCATGAGTTAAGCAGATCTGCTGGATTTCAGAGGTTTTCATGTTGCTTTTTCATTCACACGTTAGTGCTCTGCTTCTTTCCTCAGATATTCCTCTACCTCCATCAGTAAGTCAGTCCACACACTTAGGCCACAGACCTTAAAGTCTCCACCCTGTGCCTTCAGGAGTTTCAGAGCAGCTTGTGTCTGTCCCCTGAGTAGAGCTGGTCCCTCATAGAGGCAGCTGAAGCGCTCCCTTAACTCGTCCCAGGACAATTCAGCTTTGTCAAGACAACTTTTAACCCACCGCCCCTGCAAGGGGTCATAGACCAAGCGGCTCCCCCAGTCAGTTAAGAGGTCCAAATAAGGTCTGCTTAACTGGGAATAGTGACCAGCTAGGGAGGAAAGAAGGGAGCCTGGGAGGCAAAGGCAGAAGGCAGAAAATCGCTCCATCTTCCCCAGCAGCCAGGAAAGCAGGAGCCCGACCACGCAGTCATCTCTTCCACTCGCCTGGTTTCCATACAGGCTGTTCCCATCCCGACCCCTGCCTCC